CACAAAGAAATAGATCAACTAGAGAAAAAAACAGCAAAGAAATAACAGAATTAAGTGAAATTTGTGAACAAATGGACTTAGTAGACCTTTACAGAGTGTCCCATCTAACATCAGAATACACAGTCTTCTCAGCTGTGTATGGGACATTTGCTAAAACAAACTAACACACAGAACATGCTTAAATGAATACAAACGTATTGAAATTATCCCATGCATATTATCAGACTATAGTGCAATGAAATTGGAAATTATTGACAGCAGAAATCACAAAAACTCCATAAACACATGGAAATTAAATAATACCTTCTTGAACAACCAATGGGGCACAGATGAAATTAAACAATATTTACAATCAAACAAAATGTAGATACAAATTACCAGAACTTGTGGGATGCAATCAAAGCAGTGCTCAGAGGGAAATATATAGCAGTGAATTCTCACATCAGGAAAACAGAATGAACACAAATAATCAACTTTATGATTCAAGAAAAAGAAGAGCAAGTCAAGCCCAAAGCCCAAGGAAGGTAGGATATTACAAAGATCAGAGCAGAAATTAACACAATCGAGACTAAGAAAACAATGCAAAGAATCAATGAATTAAAGAGTTGATTCTTTGAAAGAATAAATAAAACTGATAAATCCCTAGCCAACCTTATCAAAAAAAGGAAAGAAAAAACTCAAATCCATGCAATAAGGAATGAAAAGGGTGAAATCAATACGGAGCCTGTAGAAACTCTGAAGATCATCAGTACTTACCTCAAAAATCTTTATTCTCCTAGGATGGAAAACACAGGAGAAATGGACAGATTCCTAGAAACATATGAATTACCAAAGCTGAATCAGAAAACATAAAAATCCTAAATAATCCAATATCAGTTAATGAAACTGAAAACATAAAAGAAAAACCTTACCAACAAAGAAAAGCTCAGGTCCTGTTGGATTCACAGCTAATTCTACAAGACATTTAGAGAACTTGAATGCCAATTCTTCTCAAACTCTTTAATGAAATAGAAAAGGAAGCAATTTTCTCTCACTCAGTCCTGGAGGCAAATATTACCCCCATACCAAAACCAGAGAAAGACCCAACCAGAAAAGAGAACTAGAGGCTAGTCTCCCTAATGAACATAAACACAAAATTCTCAATAAAATACTAGCAAATAGGATGCAACAAATCATCAAAAAGGTATATACCATGGGGCTGGGGATTTAGCTCAGCGGCTAAAAGCGCCTGCCTGGCAAGCGCAAGGTCGTGAGTTCGGTTCCCGGTACCGAAGAAAAACCAAAAAAAAAAAAAAAAAAAAAAAAAAAAAAAGGTATATACCATGACCAAGTGGGATTCATCCCACTTGAATATACACAAATAGATAAATGCAAAAAACCATATCAACAGAGCCAAGAACAAGAATCACATGCTCATCTCAATAGATGCAGAGAAAGCTTTTAATAAAGTCCAACACTCATTCATGAAATAATCCTACAGAAAATTTGAATTGATGGTCTTTACCTCAATCTGATAAAAGCTATCTATAACAAACCAACAGACAACATCATATTAAATGGACAAAAACTGAAACCTTTACTTTAACATTGGGAACAAGACAAGGACATCCACTGTCATCACTCTTATTCAATATAGTTCTGGAAATATTAGCCAGAGCAATTAGACAAGAGAGGGAAATAAAAGGAATAAGGACAAGAAAGGAAGAAGCAAAATTATCGTTATTCACAAATGACATGATAATCTATATGGAAGAACCCTCAAAATCCACCAAAAGACTCCTATAATTAATAAACAAACTCAGTAGCATAGCTGAATACAAAGTCAACACTCAAAAACCGGTACCATTCCTATACACAAACAACAAACACACTGAGAAAGAAATTAGAGAAACCACACATTTCACAATAGCATCCAAAAAACTGTAACACTTAGGAATCAATCTAACAAAACCAGTAAAAGATCCATACAGTGAAAATTATAGTACTCTGAAAAAAGAGATCAAAGAGGATTTCAGAAACTAGAAAGATATTCCTTGCTCATAGCTAGGAAGAACCAACATTGTGAAAATGGCCATACTCCCAAAATTGTTACACAGATTCAAAGCAATCCTCATCAAAATACCATTAGTATACCTCATGGATCTAGAGAAAATATTCCAAAAATTCATCTAGAACCAGAAGAGACCTGGAATAGCAAAAGCAATCCTGGGCAACAAAGGCAAGGCAGGAGGCATCACAATCCCTGACTTGAAATTATACTACAAAGCTACTGTGATAACATTGGCATGGTATTGGTAAAAAAACAAACCAAAACAGACCTGAGGATCAATGGAACAGACCAGAGGATGCAGCCACAACTACAGACACACTCTGCCACCTTATCTTTGAGAAAGGGGCCAAACATGTTCATTGGAAGAAAGATAGCATCTTTAATAAGATACTGGAAAAACTGGCTTTCCACAGGAAGACTAAAACTAGACCCTTGTCTATCACCATTCACTAAACTAAAGTCAAAATAGATCAAAGATCTAAACATTGAAACAGAAACAGTAAATCTACCGGAGGAGAAAGTAGGTAGAAATCTTGAAGACATAGGGGTAGACAGAGAGTTCATTAACAAAAACCAGATTGCATGAGAAATACTTCAAAGAATCAACAACTGGGATCTCATATTATTGAAAAGTTTTTGCACATCAAAAGAAATCGCCAACAGAATAAAAAGAAAACCCACGAATTCAGGGAAAAGTTTAGCCAACTGTCCCTCAGACAAAGTACTTCTGTCTAGAACATATAAAGAATTTTAAAAAATCAGGCCCCGAACATTGAAAGACCCAATCCGAAAATGGGCATTTGAGATGAATACACACTTCTCAGTTGAACAAATACAAATGGCAAATAAATATATGAAACAATGTTCAATATCATTAGTCATTTGTGAAATGAAATTAAAACAATATTAAGATTCCATCTCATCCCAGAAATAATGCCTATCATCAAGAAATCAACCAATAACAAATTCTGGATGGGCTATGGACAAAAAGAGGTACCCTTCTCCACTTTTGGTAGGAGTGTAGACTGGTACAGCCACTGTGGAAATCAGTGTGGAGATTCCTCAAAAACCTAGCATGTAAGAATGCAAGATTGGTCAAACAATTAAAGAGAATTAAGGTCCCATTCAATCCAGCTATTCCCTTTCTGTGTATTTTTCCAGAAGAACTGAAAATATCACACCACAGCAATATATGTGCACCCATGTTTACAATAGCACAATTTGTCATAGTTAAACCTTGGAAACCACCCAACTGAAGAATGGATACAAAAGATGTTTTTTTATGCAATAGAGTATTATTTAGCTATAAAGATAAACTTGAGAGCTTTATAGGTAAAGCGATGCAATTAAAGACCATACTCACAAATGAAATAAATCAGAACTGCATGTATAAACATCACATTGTTTCCCTAGTATAAGAACTTGAAAGAGTAAATAAAATCTGAAAAGTGCAATAGATATGAAAGGATAACTTATCAAAAGAAAAGAATAACTTGGATGAGGGAAAGGAGAAAAGAAAGAAGGAAAGGAAAAATATATATACACAAGATAGCTAAGATAGTTGTACAATTAATTTCTATTGGTTTATTGAAAGGAACAGTTAATGCTCAAATTTTTTGACCAATTTTGCATGCTTATATCTGGTAATCTGAACAACTACTTTGAAGACAACAATACGCAATATAACAACCGTTGTTGACTTCACAGTGCCTTGTTTTTTCAAATTCTGTATTGTTTCCTTTTGTTGTTGTTATTGTCTTTTTGGGACAGGGTCTCACTATGCAGTTCAGGCTGACCTTGAACTCACAACAATCCTCCTGAAACAGCCTCCCAAGTGCGGGATTACAGGCATGCACTACCATGCCTGGCTCTGTATCGTTTCTAATTTTTTAATGTTTTTGTTCTCTTTAAAATAAAAAAAAAGAGAAAAAGAAAACTTAAGCAGCTGAGAACATAAAAGTTAATTTATCATGTATGTGGATTTGGGTCAGCATGAAACTGTTTTCTCCATACTCTGATGTGATGTAGCAAATGTGGTAGGTGTCATGGCAGAGAAAATAGACCTCTAAAGGTACTTCAGTAGAACTAAATTTTCTAGATTGGAAGTCACGTACATCATCGCTACCCAAAACTCATCAGTGGAAACTAGTCTTGGGGCTTTACTCAACAACAGTAAGTTACAATAAACAGTCCTACAATATGTACGGGAGGTGGAGCACCAGGGGTCCTTCATGGACACCATCAATGACTACTTACAAGTCAAGGTATAAGAGAAAACTGCAGGAAAGTTCACTACCCAGCAGAGTGGAAAAAGAAGCAGGCCATGTACTGTCAGTTGTATTGGTCAAGTATACTGAACACTGCTAAATCTTGTATTCACTTAAGAAACTCCAAGCAATGATATCCAGAGACTCAATTTTTCTTTACTTAGTTTGTTTCCAAGGTGTGAAAACCTCTTATTTTGAGTAATCTTATGTCTCACAGTTATAACTGAATCTGAATGGAATCTCTGACATTTCAGGTATTCTGTATGAAAAAGATGGAGTCTTCCTTCAGAAATCATAAAGAAAAATAAAGACTTCAGGTTAAAAAGGAAAGTGTTCATTCTCTGAAAGCAGCCAGAATGCATAATGCTGTGATTTGGACATGACTCAAGTATGTCCCCAAGGACTCATGAGTTGGAAGCTTCACCTCCAATGTGGGCAAAGTTGGAAAGTGATACAATTTCAAAGATGTGGGGCCTAGCATCAGGGGATTGGGTCATTGGGGGCATTGTCCTCAGAAGAAAGTATTGAAGTACTCATGGGACTCCAATTTAATTCTTATGAGAATGCTGTTTGGAAGAGCAAAGTAAGCCCCTCCCCCATTCTCTCTGGCTTTCTGTTTCATCATGTGATCTGGTCTGTGTGTGTTCCTGCCATTGTGATGGCATCCATCACAAAGTCCTCACCAGAGCCAAGCTAGTGCTGGAGCCATGCCCTTCAACCTGAAAACTGTGAGCTAAATAACCTTTCTTCCTTACATATTACCTAAATCAGGTATTTTGTCATAGTAATGGAAAGCACACCAATACACACAAGTGAGTTGGGTCCACATGTCTTCTGTATAACTTCATTGAATAATACCTAACTGAACAGAAAAACATACTAAAGAAGTGTTTTCTTTTAAATATAAATTCTGTACATGTATAACATTTTAAAATTTTGTTTCTCTCCAGATTAAATTTCCACTTATCCTTATATACACTCACAGGGAGTAGTATATGTAATAACCATTGTCATCTCTGAGAGAGGGAGGAGCCCAAAAGTCACACAACTGTGAAGGCACAGGCACAACCTGCACCCAGGGGCCTGAAAGCTCCTTATAGTGCTCTTTTCTACAAGACTTTGTGGCCTTAATGCCAAACTTTCCCAGGGACACATGGATATTTATATTTCAACTTTTTCTGCAGTTATATGGAAGAGTTCTGAGGACTTCATGGATTTTTGATCACATCAACAGATTTATCTGATTGCTTATTCGTGTTGGATCATAGGATTATGAGGCATCTGTGGTATGACGGAAGGAGCATTGGAAAGAAATTCACTCATTTAGTCATTCATATATGTACTGAAGACCTAGTTAAAAAATGCTAAACAGTTGGTCTGCAGTATCATACTAGAAAGATGTGGATTTTGCCTTTTTATCACCCTGCTTATGATCATACATGCAGGCTAGAGTGCAAATGCTTATGCATTTTAGGGGTGGTTTAGGCTGTTTGAGCTGCTCTAAGAAAATGCCCTAGACTGGATCACTTATTTATTTATTTACTTTTTCTGGTACCAGGAATTGAACTCACGACCTTGTGTTTGCCAGGCAGGTGCTGTGCAACTGAGCTAAATCCCCAGCCCCTGGGTCACTTATAAACAGGAGATATTTATTGTTTACTCTTCTTCAGGCTAAGAAATGCAAGATCGAGGTGTTGGCAGATTTAGTGTCTGGCTTGCTTTCTTCTCCTTAGAGAGCACCTTGTTGCTGGATCCTTATGTGATAGAAGGGACAAGGTTGGTCCCTCAAACCTTTTTCATTAGGACCTAATCCCATTCGTGAGGATAAAACCCTCATGACTTAATCACTTATGGTCTCATAATACTATAACGTCAATATTAGGGTTCCAACACAATGAATTTGAGACCAGACACCAACATTAAGACCACAGCAAAACAGTGAAAATGAACTAATAGCAAATATATGCATATGTGAATGTAATAAATATATACACATTATTATCATGAGCTCTGGTGAAGAGCTATTCAAACAACTGATTTTTGGTCTTGAATTACAGGTGACTAGCTATGATCCTTGGGAAAGTCATTCTTGTCTTTCCTGTCCTATTTTCTTACTTGAAGAATGAAACATACAGACTGTGCTTGTCATGGCTGAATTTTTTGGAACTGAGCACGTATTACTTTAGTCCTCAGGGAGAAGACAGTAAAGATGAGCAAGACAAGGAACAAGAAGTGAAATAGGAACAGGACTCCTGTTTGGATCTTCTGTAGAATTCTGGTTGAAGTTCTGTTGAATTTCCTGACATTCAGTTGGATTCAGCTCATTTGTTTTATTCTTTTGAGGCCTAGAGAACTGAGAGTTTATTTGTTTTCTAGGGAGCTTATGTTTCATAGACAACAAATCATGATGCCTGTGCCTGATGAGGGTAGTGAATCCAGGAGAGATGCAAGGGCCCTTCCCTCAGCAGGTGAGCGACAGACTGGGTGCTGAGTTTGCTTTACTTTTGTCTCTACTAGCAGCACTGCATCAGCCCTTTCTTCTGCTTCTTCACTTCAAATTGCTTTTATCTTGGCATTAATCCCCCTTGCATTCAAATACCTTATTTTGACTTCCCTGGCTTTTGTGTTTCAGGCAAGTTTTTGAACATCTTTTTTTGGTTTAAAATTCTTTAAAAATGCCATGTGATTTCACTGATCTTACCAGAAACCAATAAAAACACATTACTTTAAAAATAACTCTCATAAAATCTCTTACTTGTGAAAAGCTTTCATTCTAATAAAAATGGAGCTAACCAAAACCTTTTAAAACTGCTTGCAGGCATCCATGGGACTTGGCATGTCCAGACTGCACTACCTCGAGAAGTGATGAAGATACCAGACCTCTTCCCTGTCTGCAGGAACATTGGTCCAAGATAAATGAACTCACCTACTTTAGAAAAGAAAAATCTAATCGGAGAATGGTACCATCCCCCCGAAGACCACTCATTCTGTGCTCTGCCAACATAGCCACAGGGAATCTACCATCTTTTCCGCCATGTGTGAGGTTGTGGTTGAGTTTTTCCCTTTCCTTTCCTTTTAGTTTCCTAAATATAGAATTAATGGGTAGTAGGGAAAGTCAATGATTTCTCCTACTTGGGTCTGGAGAATGGAAAGAAAATATTCCTTTCTTCTTTCGGCTTCAAAACCCCCTCTAGGTTGGGGCCCTCACTTGCCAATTTCGCATTCAGATAAGACACAAGTCAAGGACCACAAAGTTTGTAACGACAAGGAGCTGGAAGGGGGCATTGCTGTACTATGATAGAGTACTGGCCCCAAGTGTCAAACCTTGGTTGGTGGTGCCAGGTTGGCTGCCCCAGACTCTTGGGGAAAGGATTTTGAAGAGCATAGACTCATGGGCTTCTATCCCTAGGGACCTCAGGTGGGGCTTCAGAAGTTTAAAATATTTTTTTTTTGTTTGGAAAGATTCTCAGATCCACCACCAGTTTAGGATTCAGAAGTGTAAAAACAGTGAATAGCAGCAATAAAAGTTAAATAAATAATTTGCACTCCATAACTGAAAAGGAGAAACAATTTGTTGATGGATCAGTGCTGATTTTACCAGCCCTTGGCATGATACATCCTTTGATCACAAATCTCTTGATATGCTCCCCTAAAAAAGAGGTCTGTGGTCAAGGACATGCTGCCACAGCTCCAAGCTTCATCCTGTCTTGGAGATTCTTAGGTTCTTTTAGGTGTATATAAGAGCTACTGAAGAAATGTGGTCAGTGATTTTGAGTTCTCAAATGAGCCTGGCCAAAGAACCACTTTTTGTCCATCATGTCTCAGTATCTTTCAAGACCTAAGGGATGAATTTGCCAAACACCTGCCTGGGTAGCTTGGTTGGTACCATTCCCACAAGGAAGGAGCAGGGTGCTATCTTGTGCACTGTTAGAATGCATTGTTAGAATAACTTTCATCCCCACATAGCCCAACCCTATTTGCATATCAAGCAGGCACCCTAGGGGAGAGTTTCCTGTCTTCCTTAATGGGAGAGAGGTGACTTTATTTTTATGGATGAATGTGTCAGTCAAGGCAGTTTAGAAATGTCACCCCAGTTCCATAGAATTGTCACTATATAGGAGACCAATGCCTCACTGCAGAGACTCCAAGAACATTTCCTTTTCTTTCAACCTAACTTGGTCTGCAGATGGATGGGAACAGAAAGGTGTCACTTCTGTGCATTTGCACAGCGTTGTGTTCTCTATTAGTTTACAACAATGGTGGCAGTAACTGGTGATATATTTGCCAGTAGCATCACCTCTATCACTTCTAATCTTCATGATGCCCTGCAAACCACCTTCCATTTCCCAGAAGAGAAAACTGTACCTCTGAAGTGTTAGCTGCCTTGTTCAGCTGGTAAGTGACAGAATGAGCTGCTTGCTTCTAAAACTGAGGACCTTTCCTCTCAAAAAAAGCCTCACAAAAATCTTTTTTTTTTTTTCTTTCTTGGAGAAGAGTTTCTCCTGGCATTTTCCTCCCCAGGTCCTGTTTTCATTGACTTTCTTTGGTTATCTTGGAGACAGAGAAAATGTGAAGGTCAAGTTATTTTTTCTCTCTGGGGTTCTGGTCAATCAGGCATTTTCCTTTCTATAGAAGTTCTTCTTGGTGAGGGTGGAGACACATTGGAATTCCATATGTTGTTGGGTTTTTTTAATTCCTAAGGTGCCACACCCACACAGTTTGTTTACTCTTGGCAAAGTAGAAGAGCCAGCATAAGTCAAAAACATGTCTTTAGATTACTCTAATGGGTCTTTCTTAAGGAAACTAATCTCTTCTCTATAGCCTAGCCCAGTGCTGGTCCATCTTCACAACTGGAGAACCTAATATACTGTACATTCTTTTCAACTGGTATCGATTTCTAGTTCTATGAGATGCTTAGATTCCTGCTGGTTTTGGATATAGGGTGGTGTTAACACTGATTGTGAAGGAATCTGGTCTCCCCTACAGGTTCCTATTGGGAAGAACAGAGGTAGAAGAAGAGGACCTCGGTAGTGACTAGTGATACCTTTTTTTTTTCTGGTACTGGGAATCGAACTCACGACCTCATGCTTGCCAGGCAGGCGCTGTGCTGCTGAGCTAAACCCCCAGCCCCAATACTTTTTTTCTTTCTTGGCAAAGAGCAAGGGGCAGCCTGGGCTCACTCTCAGGAATTTCAAAGCTGCATTGTTAGAACAACTTCCATTCATTTCATGGGGATCAATGAGCAAATATTTCCCCCTAAAACATCCACCTTTCCTGTTACCTAAAAATTATATTGGTTCAAAATTAAAATGAAGTTTTGATCAAGTTCTGAGCATGTAAACGGAAACCAACAAAATATATGTTTCCCATTGGTATGGACAGAAGCGGTGCATTAACTCTGGTACGGCTTCTGGTCCAGGTCTTACAGGATGACCGTGCTGCTTTCCTGGGATTGCTGGCGGGATTGCTGCTCCAGCACACAATAGGCAGTTTTTACTTCATTCTGTTGGTGTCTACACCTGTCACCTTTGCCATGTAGAAACTGGCAAGCTGGGTCCCTTTACTGTGTGGGTTGTACCATTGCCTGGATCTTAACACATACTCCATCTTTGCTGGTTCTCTTGTTAATACAGATCTCAAAGTCTCTAAAAGAAATGCCAGAAAAAGAAATGCCATGTTCTCAATGGACAGCTTTTCAAATTACTGTATTATCTATTCATTAGTATTAGGTTCAGAGCGCTATGCTTTGTGTTTCTTGGGGAATAAATGAAAGAAGAGCAATATTGTTCCAAATCCTCTATTTACAGCTTCTGGGGAGCCTGGAATAGTCCTGATATAAAGTTCTGTCCTGGTCTGGCCCCATGTGTCTCTCTTCCTGGGGATCTCTCTCTTTATCACTCTATCTGCCTGGGATGGACCAACCTAGTCATTTTGTGGGCTCAGCAAATATCTTGATCCATTTTGGGAATGCTTTCAGTTTGGCTAAAACTTAAAACACATTTTCCCCAAGCACCCTTTTCCTCTTAATTTTTAAACTCGTATATTTTAAGGAAAATTTAGCCCATGTGTTTCTCATTATTCCTGATTCATTTGCACTTAACTCATCAAAATGTTGCTTTGCAAAAGTTGTTTGCTTTCCAAGAAGACTCCTGAAATTCTTTTTTGTACATTCAGCCTGCCCTCTTCTTTCTTTTTCCATTCCTCTCTTTATTAGTTCAAAGGCACACTTTTCTTAGAAACAGGCATTGTTACCCCCTGCAGTACCACATTAGTACATTATAGGAGAGGCTGGCACAGGTGTGGATTCCGGCCTGCAGCCCACTTGTACCTTTTACTCCTTCATAGTATTTGCATCCAGGAGAAATGTGTGATCTTGCAGCAAACAGCAGTCATTTTCTGATATTTTAGGGAGATAAATGGGTGTTGGGCACTGGAAAAGAATGATTTAGGATGTAGGTTCTGGAGTCAGCCTTTTTGGGTTTCAACTTTTCTCATCTGTGAAATGAGTGCAGCAATACTGTCTAAGACACGGAGATATACCAGGCAGAGTACTATACGATAAGCACATAGTGAGTTCTCAATAATTAACTTCCAGTTTTGCATGTGAGGTCTCCTCTCACCTAGTATCTCATATTTTTTCTCAACAAGATGCTCAGAATATTGTGTTTAGGTTACCCCAGAAAAAGACCAGGATTCAAGTGCAAGCAATCTGTTTGAGTAGTTATCCTAAGAAATTCTACTAAAACAGTGGGGAAGTGTTTATCAGTCAGAGTTTGTTAGAGAAGCAGGGCCAGTAGGGCACATGTGTATGTGTGAGGAGATATATTTTGAGTAACTGACTCACATAATTGTGGAGGATGGGTGAGTCCAAAATCTGATCAGACTTAGGAGAATGTTGTAGTTCAAATTCAAAGTCAGTCTGCTGGAGAAGCAGCAAGTTGCAGATGAAGTCTGAAGGCAGTCGGCCGGACAATTCCCTATTGCTTGGAAGAGACCACCTTTTTGCTTTATTCAGGTCTTCCACTGATTGGATGAGACCCACTGACCTGGGAGAACAATCTGCTTTATTTAAGTCTACTAATTTAAGTGTAAATTGCATTTAAATACATCCCCCATCCCTAACTAATCCTTCACAGAAATATCCAGGCTATTAAACTAATAGGATAGCCTTATGACCCAGTCAAGGTGACACATAAAATTTACCATCACAGGAAGTAAGACAGGGAACAAGAATGAAGCCAATTATTGGATAAGCAGGTGGCCCCTGTGGATGACTAGGGTTTCATCATACTGCAGGGCTAAGGAGATGACAATGACTATACCCCAGAGATGCCTCTGCCAAAGATGATGGCCATTGGCTGATTCCATATCCTGCTGCACATGTGGGAGAGTGGCTCTGGATTGTGGAGAAGCCCTTCCATTCAGCAAGGCAGGTGCTAGTAGCTGAACACTGGGCAGGTGTGTGGGGACATGATCTGGGACCAGAAGGTCAGGTGGGACATTGACAACATTTACCATAACCTCCTTCATCTCTCAGGCTCTCAGTGATAGTCAGGCTTCCACGTTTGCCTCACATTTTCACATCTCACAACTTCAAAGTCAGATGGATGATATATTCACTTGTAGTAGCAAGAGATCCAGAAATAGGCCCTCAGAGTAAAACTCTGGGGCTGCTGTAATGCTAAATTTACGCCATGAGAAAACAAGTACAGATCTTAGTTTAGGTATCTCAGTTTATCTGTTGACACCTAGATCCATGCCTTCACCAATATATTGAACACTAAGAAATCTTGTCATTAGCCTACTCCAAATTAGCAAAAAAAATTCCCACCAAAGAATAAAAAATAGCTTTATTTTTTAGGAAGCTTTTAGGAAGAATGAAATATATTTTCACTGAGAACTTCATTAATTATAAGATTGCTAAAAAACACTAAAGAAATATAAAACTTCCTTTTAACATAAGAAAATTTTATTATTTATTTATTGTTTAAACCTGAAGTTAAAAATAGTATAACAAAGCATACAGTTTATCTGGACTTCATTCCT